AATGAAGATATATTTTTGACCTTTTATAAGTCATTAGATCATGTGATCTAACGGTTAAGATGTATTCTTATTTCTTTCACTTAGAAGAATTCTCATGTGAGCGCGACCCTACATATATATATTATACATGAAATATATAAGAAAGTTTATTTGTTGGATGCAAATGAATTGGTCAATTATTTATAGTTTAATAAATTATTCAACTACTTAAATTTTTTTATTTAGACATGTCATACGAAAATAAATTCATTTTAGTTAATGAAATAATATAAGTTTTATAATTATACGTTTTATTCACATAGATTTTTAAATATATGATAAAATTTTACCAAAACATTTTTATTGAATCACATTGTAGTCAAACCTAAATTTTGAATAAAATTTTTTAAAATGACATTATTTTAATTAATATAGGTAAACTGTATTACAAATTGATTCAAGGGGCAAATAGAGATTTTTGTTCGCCGGAGTCACTATGATCAAACACGCACAAATAACCGAACATTGTCATGCTAGCTAAAACCCTAGGTAGCTAAACCAAGCTCTAGCACAAACGAGCAAGCATTTAACTCCTAGTCACACTTAGTCAAGCATTCACGATCCAAAGATTCCATCTTTTCCTCCAACCAACACAAGCACAATATCAATTTTCACAAAAAGCAAATAACGATATACGAAGTAATGGGGCTTAAGGCTAAGTACCCACTCTTACACGCACTTGGGAAGAAAACCGGAGTCAAAAGCTCGAAACTTTACTCGAAACAATATCGCCGGAGATTTGCCGGAAAATTTGATTCATAAGCTCCAAACCAAAGCATAAAAAGAAAATAGAGAAAATGGAGAGAATTTCCCAACTTAAAAGTTGGGAAATGAGGGTTGTGTCCAAAAATATAAAGCAAAATGTCTATTTATAGCTACACCACAAACACACACTAAAAACACACACATTTAATGAAATTCTAAAGTTCGCGGGTCTCGAAACGGAGTCCGCAGTGAGTTTGGGCATGGAGTAGTGCAGAAACTGTTGTTCGCAGGTCGCCAAATGATGTTCACTAGCGAGTTCAAACCTTGGGTGCCTAGGGTGCGCGTTTGGCGGGCCGCGAGTGATGGTTCGCTGGCGAGTGTGTTGGTATGGGCTGCTGTGGGGCGCGTTTCGCTAGTCGCGAGAAGTGGTTCGCTGGCGAGTGCTGCCATGGGAGCTGGAGTGCTTGTGTTTCGCCGGCCGCCAAGTCCTTTCCGCAGCGAGTGTGTATGCATGGCTGTGTAGGGCGCGGCCTTTCGCAGGTCGCGGAATTACGCCCGCAGCGAGTGCTGGGGTTTGTACACGCGCCTCCTTCGCTGATCGTCAATCCCTTTTCGCCGCGAGTGCTGCTGGTCGTGGCATGTGATTTCGCGGAGCGCGAAAGGAGTTTCGGCTGCGAGTGGCGCGGGTGTTGCTGGGCTATCTTGTGCGCGCTCGCGGAATGACTTTCGCGGCTTTTGACTTTGCCTCTCGGGTAATGGTTCGGATGGCTTTGTGAAAATGATTATAATTTGCTATTGTATGATGAGTTTTTATTGTATGTTGAATATTTATCCGAATTGTTTATAAATTTGATGTTATTGTTGGATTATGGTGATTAGGGTTTTGGTGGTGTTTTTGATAAATTTTATTGACATTTTTTTTGTTGGAGTAAAAATATGATTAATTATATGTTGTTGTTGGAAATGAGTTTTTAATTTAGATTGGTAAAATAATAATTGAATTTTTTTCGAGTGTTTGATTAGCCATTATGTGTTGTTGTAGTTTGTAAAATAGAACTTGTTTTGTGCCACAGGTTATAAATGGCGTCTATCGGTCCCTACTTTGTTAATGTGTACTGAAAATTTCCCCAGAGTGAGTTATGGAATTTTTCGAATTATATGTATCGTCCGGATTATTCATTTGTTATTGATGGAGTAATATCATATGAACAATTGGTAGATATGATTTACGAAAATGATGGGTTTCGTGATAGTTGGACAATTTCGGATATTACTTTCATGGCCAGACAACCGGATGGTTCGTTTATTCCCAGAAGACTGAATAATGATAGTGCTCTTTCGTGGATTTACTACTTTCCACCTATGTCCTATGTGCTTTTGTATATAGTGTTGGAAGCAAACACACAGGTTACACAGGTTAAGGATCCTACGCCATCATATGGTTACGGAGGAGTGTTTGGTGGTGAGGGTACGTGGACTACGCATGCCGGTAATTTTGGTGAAGGGACGAGTAATTTCGGCGAAGGGACGAGTAATTTCGGCGAAGGGACGAGCTTTACCATGAGAGGACCGGACATTGAGGAAGAAATTGTTGGAGATGAAGATTTCAGTCCCGGTGAAGACGATTTCACTGATGAGACCTTGGAAACCGAATCAGACATATCAATTAATGAGGAGAGCAAACAAGAATTCATTGAAGAAAACCCCTTTCTAAATGAAGGCCTCCATGTATATCGCGAGATGTGTGAGTGGGACTCGTCGTGTGTAGACAGGGACGAGTATGCCTTGCCACTCTGGGATGGACATGTTGAGACTATCCCTTTGGGTACAATTTTTCGTACCAAGGAAGAAGCCCAAACTGGTATTCTGGCATGAAATATTGAGAATCTTAGGGCGGTCCGGACAAAAGATTCCAACAAGAAGTCCTTTAAAGTTGTGTGCAGATCAGCTGAAATTGTACCATGTATATGGAAGGCTCGGGTGAGTCTTAACAAACGGGATCACGATAAGTGAGAGGTAACCGAATGGACCGATAGCCACACTTGCATGCAGGTGGTCGAGAGAAATTACCACAAGAATGTGACCGCCACCATGATCTCAAGTCTTTTGTTGGCTAAGATTCAGAAGGGCAAGGCAGGTTGTATATCCATGGAGGTAAGGGAGAATAAATAGGAGGAGGAGAGGAAGGCAGGTTGGGCCTCCCGAGATCGGGCGGCTCGCCGCCGGCGATGACGGACGCCGGCGAGGCTATCCGGTAGGGGTGATCGGTAATTGGGAGGGAGAGATGTGTGGGTAGAAAATAGGGGATGAGGGTTTTAGAGAGAGAAAGTTAGAGAGAGGTGAGAGCATTTTGTAAAAATTCCCATTAACCGAAGGGCAAGGCCTCGGCCCACGGCCTTGACCCGAAGAGACAGAAGGGCAAGGGTAAGGTCACCTTTGAGGGCGCTCAGCCCAAGGAGGGTAACCTTGTTAGGCCTAAGGCCAAAGCTACAGGCCTTTTTCCACACCAGTCCCTCCAGTCAGCTACTATAGCTACCCACTCCCGCTTCTCGGTGCTTGACTCTGAGTCGGAGGAGGAGGATTTCCACATTTCCCCCGATCATCTGGGAGCATCGACCAGCTCCCCTTTTGATGATGATGACCTTTTAGTGGAGGAGATAGAGTCGTCTGCCATCCCATTGTGTATCGAGTCCTCTCCTTCATCCTCAGCTCTCATGATCGTAGAGCCCTCCCCCCACCTTACCTCTCTTCTTTGCCCACCAGCTCGCCCACTTCTGACCCTCCCTTCCACTTCCCCCTCATCCCCTGCTAGTGAGCTTAGACCGTCTTCCCCTCAGGGCCAGGCGCAGAGCCCCGAGGTTTTGGAGCATCTTCAACTCATCCTCTTACCCCATGAGTTTCCCCCTATACAAGGGGGTCCTCTCCAGGAGATCTCAGAGCTCCGGAGACCACAGACCAGATCGATGACTGCGCAGCTCTCTGCTAGCCGCGCTCTGACCTTACCAGACATACAGACTCAGCCTAACCACGGACAGCTCCAGTTAGGCGGCATCACTGACGTTTGACATGTCAGTCACATCGCTTACATAGAATGCCCGTGGTCTGGCTAATAGGACCACTCTTGCTCATGTTAGATCTCTCATTCGTGAGCACAACCTTGACTTTGCAGCTTTCTTAGAACCTATGACTCGTGACCCCTCTTTTGACGTATATACGCGACGCCTTGGTTTTCATGCCGGGATGGGAAACAACTCTAACAAGATTTGGTTTTTCCACTCACATGACTTTACTTGTCAGATCCTTCGCGATACTGATCAAGTCTTGCACGTGAAACTCACCGCCGCCCATCTCCCGGAGCCGATCTTTCACACTTTGGTCTATGCCAGTTGTGCGAGGGTTGGTCGCTATGTCCTCTGGGACACCATGCGTGAGATTGCTGAGAGTATGGAGGGATTACCGTGGATGATTAGCGGCGATTTCAACATATTCCGGCATCCCGATGAAAGCATTGGTGGTGTTTCGGACCGCTCCGCGGAGATCTTAGATTTCTCCCATGCTGTATCGGATTGTGAGCTCATCGACGCTGGTTACGAAGGGTCTCCCTTCACGTGGGAGAGGGCCGGAGTCAGGGAGAGGCTCGACCGCGCTCTCTATTCAGAGGCGTGGACGAGGGTGTTTGCGACCATGGTTGTAACGCACCTTCCTCGAATTGGATCCGACCATGCCCCCCTTCTGATTCGTTGCCGGTTCTCTATTGCCCCTCGTCGAGGGTCCTTCCGTTTCCAGAACATGTGGGTTCGCCACCATTCTTTCTACGACACTGTTAGAGCCTCCTGGCAGCAGGCTACACACCTCTATGGGATGCGCAACCTGGAGGAGAAGCTCAAGAGACTCCGCTGCGTGTTGAAGCAGTGGAACTGGACGACTTTTGGTGACATTTCTCAGCGTCTTACTGCAGCTCAGACTGCGTATGCGGAGGCAGAACGGACCTATGATTTGGATTCTTCGCCAGAGAATAGGTCTGAGATGCGCCGCTGCCATGCTGAGTACCAGTTGCGCCTCCTCATGGAGGAAGATTTCTGGAAGCAGAAGGCTGCTGTGCGCTGGGTGGCTGAGGGGGAGCGTAATACCATGTTCTTCCAGGGATTCGTGAGGCAGAAGCGAGTCAAGTCGTATATCCATAGTGTCGAGGATAACGGGTCATCCGTGACCCAGGAGTCCCAGATACGGGAGTCGGCTAGGGCTTACTTCCACTCTCTCTTCTCTTCTGAGCGGGACTTGCTCACGCGTCCCGACCCAGCCCTCTTTCCGACCATCCCGCAGTCAGTCGACCTTGTCGATCTCTGTGATCTCCCGAGTAAGGAGGAAGTCAGGGAGGCTGTTTTTGGGATTGATCCCAACAGCGCCTCCGGACCGGATGGTTTCTCGTCCCTCTTCTTCCAGTCTTGCTGGGAGATTGTGGGCATTGACGTAGAGCAAGCTGTGAGGGAGTTTTTCTCTGGCCACCAGATGCCAGAGTCCTTCACGGCAACCTCCATCATTTTGATCCCGAAGAAATCGGGACCTAGCTCTTGGTCTGACTATAGACCTATCAGCTTATGTAACGTGACTAACAAGATCATTTCTAGAATCCTTAATAGCCGTCTCAGCCCTCTTCTCCCCCTCCTTGTCTCTCCGAACCAGAGTGGATTCATCAAGGACCGAGTCATTAGTGATAATATCCTGCTGGCTCAGGAGATGATACACGATATCTCTCACGCGAATCGAACACGAACCCCGAACCTTGTGCTGAAGCTAGACATGGCCAAAGCATACGATAGGGTCGAGTGGTCGTTTCTCAGAGAGGTACTGCTTCGGATGGGATTCCCTACCCGTTGGATTAGCTTTGTGGAGGCGTGTGTGGAGCACTGCACATTCTCCGTTTTGATTAATGGTAGTCCCACGTCCTTTTTCCCTTCTACCCGCGGTCTCCGTCAAGGGGACCCCCTATCCCCCTCTCTGTTTGTTTTAGTGGCTGACTATCTCTCTCGCTGCCTTGACGGCTTCATTCGCGATTTTCCGAGGATGACCTACAGCACGCGTGGCTGTGGGCCCCCCATTTCCCACCTTTCTTACGCGGATGACATTATCATTTTCACCCGTGCGAATGATAATGGGTTAGTTGCTCTCATGAGTCTTTTAGACCATTACAGCGAGACATCTGGTCAGCTAGTCAGTGTCAGTAAGAGTTCCTTTATCATGGACCATCATGTTGCAAATCACTGGGCTCACCAGATTCACGAGCGCACTGGGTTTGCTCGTGGGGATTTGCCCATCCCTTACCTTGGGGCCCCCTTATACAAGGGCCACCTCTCCCATGAGCTTTTCATTGATGTCCGCCAGAGGATGATTGACCGGATATCTGGCTGGTCTCATAGACACCTATCCTTCGGAGGCCGACTTGCTCTGATAAAATGCACTCTTTGTACCCTCCCTCTTCACCTTCTCGCGGTGCTTGACCCTCATCAGTCTACGATTCATGAGTTAGACCAGATCTTAGCCCGCTACTTTTGGAAATATAGCGAGGGCTCGCGAGGTCGACGGCAGACCCACTGGGTGAAGTGGGACTCCATCTGCCGCCCCCACTCTGAGGGTGGGCTCGGGATTCGGCGTTTCTCTGATATGGTTACTGCGTTTTCCTACAGGATGTGGTGGCGCCTTAGGGAGGGCAAGTCCCTTTGGGCCCAATACCTCCTGAGGAAATATTGCCCTGGTGGTGCTGCCCACCCATGCAGGGTGACATCCACTTCTCGAGATAGTCGACAGTGGGGACGTCTCACCATTGTTGGCAGGCGTGCTCAGAAGCACATTTTTTGGACTTTGGGTTCTGGGGAGGTTAGCTTCTAGGATGAGTGGTGGTTCGGCGAGGCCCCTCTCTCGAGTACTAGGACTGTCACTCACCTGCCTTTCATGCAGGTGAAGGACCTTTGGTCGGGAGGGGTTTGGGATAGAGATAAGATGGAGGGCATTCTTGGTGAGGGCGGGGGTTTTAGTAGTCTAGAGATTGACCAGATCTGTCAGATTCCCATTCTGAAGGGAGGTTTGGATGGCATGAGGTGGAGACTTACATCTTCGGGTGCATTCTCTACGTCATCAGCCTGGGGAGATGTGAGGCTGGGCAACCGGCCAAACCGCCTCTTCGGGGCCATATGGACCGACCTTCTCACCCCGGCCATTTCCGTATTCTTGTGGCGCCTACTATTACGGCGCATCCCTATTGACACTGTGATGCAGGCGAGAGGATTTTCCTTTCCCTCTTGTTGTCATTGTTGTGCTGAGACCGGCACCTTTGAGATCGAGACTTTCACCCACCTTTTCATTGAGAGTGAGACTGTGAGGAGAGTGTGGGAGCACTATGCCAGATATACTCATATACCCCTACCCACCACAGACAGTTTTTTTGAGCTTCTGAGTTTTTTCTCACTTCGCACACACAGTAGACACGTGGGCTTCCTTATTCCTTGTCTGATCCTTTGGGCCACCTGGACAGAAAGGAATAATGCGAAGCATATGGATATTACTTTTTCTTGTGCTCATATCATTTTGCAGGTCGACAGACACCTTTCTCTCCTCACTGCCCTGGGTAGACTTACTACGAGAGACTGGATAAGGTGTACACCGCCTCACCGCTTGAGGCCTCCACCTACTTTACCTGTCCAGCATTTACGACCCAGGACCGTTGTTTGGCTGAAACCCAAGGCCCCTTGGGTTAAGCTAAACACTGATGGCGCGTTCGACAGACATACCGGAGCTGCTGAAGGAGGGGGCCTGATTAGGGACCATGGTGGGGCACTCATCTCTGCTTTCCATGGGCCACTCCGGGCCTCATCGAGCTATGACGCAGAGATTCAGGCGCTCCAGATTGGTCTAGAGATCGCTGCCTCGATCTCCTCTCATGTCTGGATAGAGATGGATGCTGCGGCTGTCGTTACACTTCTGACATCTGGCCACCAGGGCCCATGGCAGATCCAGCATCCTCTTATGCGTATCAGAGACACCCTTCGCTCGATCCATTACCAGGTCTCGCACATATTCCGGGAGGGGAATCAGCCCGCTGACTTCCTTGCTAGCACGGGAGCTTCTTTATCCCAGAGGCGCACCCTTCTTCCTGGGGACATTCCCCTCCGGCTTCGGACGCTCTTTCGGATGGATCAGCTAGAGTACCCATCCTTCAGATTCAGCCGACCGCCACCTCCTGCCCCTGACTAGTTTTGACATTTTGGACCTCAGGACGAGTCAACCTGACCAGGAAGACCTATTATGAGGATTTTATTTTCTTTTCTCTTCGGATATTTTGTGATCTTTGCACTTTATCTTCTCTGCTTTTGCTGTTGCTTTATGTATTCTAAACTTGTACTCTTGACTTGGATGTAGACTCTTGACTTTTTAGCCCTTCTGGGCCTTTATATTCACAGGTCGGGGGTACAGCCTCAACCCCCCATCCCACCCTGGGATGTTTTAAATAAAAAAAAAAAAAAAAATTTCACAAAAAGCAAATAAGATATACGAAGTAATGGGGCTTAAGACGAAGTAACCACTCTCACACGCACTTGGGAAGAGAAACGGAGTCAAAAGCTCAAAACTTTACTCGAAACAATGTCGCCGGAAAACCTCCCGGAAATGACATGATTTTCTAGTCTAGAGAGAAAACATAAACATAAGCTAGTTCCCAAAAAGGAAAAATGAAATAATGAAAGATGGATGATCAAAATGCAAAGGAAGAAAAATATTTATACTCTAACCCCAACACACACTAGAAAAATGCACATCTAATCACACACTCCCGAGCTCTCCACCAAATTCGTGATCTCGCAGCAAGGGTCGGCACGAGCACACGCGGGAATCAGCACTCTCGAGGTCGTCAGGAGTTTAGCGAGGTCGCGAGTGTGCATTGGCGTGAAGAGTCGCGGCACTCTCGAGCTCGCGTGGGGTTCTGCATGGTCGCGAGCATCTTGGGCAATGGTTCCGCGGCACTCTCGAGCTCGCCGTGCCTTTCGCATGGTCGCGAGCATCTTGGGCAATGGTTCCACGGCACTCTCGAGCTCGCTGTGCCTTCCGCGTGGTCGCGAGTGGTAGGCAACGTGCAGGTCATGCGAGCGTGCGGGCGTGCGGTAGCCGAGCACTCTCGAGCTCGCAACTGCAGCTGCGTGCACGCGGGCGTGTTCTGGCGATGGTTTATGCGTCCGCGAGGTTTCCGGGTCTTCCGCGTGGTCGCGAGTTAGGCGTGCGCGCGTTCTATTGGGAATGACATAAAAATAAGCACAAAAATATAACAAACAATTACCTTTTATAATTTGCAGGTTTTTGGTTGCCCTTCAAAGGGCGAATCCCGGTACAGTCGTTGAGTGGGAATGGTAGGGTGGAGAAATGACGTATCATTCTCGAGACAGAGAATTCAGATTTGTCTTCTGGGCGTTCGGCCCTGCCATTCAAACCTTCCATCTTTGCCCGCCGATTATTAACATCGACGGCACGCACCTGCGAGGTTCGTACAAGGGGAAGCTACTTGTAAATTGCAAATTAATTTTTTATTTTCTAATTTACAATAGTGTCTGATAAAAAAAACATATGTCCAACTGAGCAGGATTGTACAAGGGGAAACTGCTTGTTGCCATAGCACAGACAGCGAATAAGCGTCTATTGCCAGTCGCGTATGCGATTGTGGACGAAGAAAACACGGCTAACTGGTCTTTTTTCCTAACACATCTGCGCCATCATGTCGTCCCCGACAGACCGATATGTCTTCTTTCCGACAGGGACAACGGCATAATGAGTGTCGTTGATTTAATGGAGGATTGGCACGAACCCCATGCATTTCATCGGATATGCCTTCGACACCTCTGGAGCAACGTGGTTTCAAGGTTCCGGAGTAAGAAAATCCGGGGTTTGTGCTGGAGGTTGGGTTCACTGTGTTCTCGCCGTAAACTTGAGCAGAGTCGACAGGAACTCCGTGAATTTAACTCGAAAGCGTACAGTTACCTTTTCCAAATTCATTTGAAAAAGTGGACCATGTACTGAGATAGAGAACGTCGATGGGGCACTCTGACAACCAATATGTCAGAGAGTTACAACAACGTCCTCAAAGATGTTAGGTTTTTGCCCTGCAGAGCGTTGGTACAGGTCACAATGAACAAGACTCTGGATTTGTTTGAACAGGAACAAAAAAAGCCCAGAAGATCTAGGAGTCCCATTCCTACCGACCTCTATGCCGCCTATCTGGCATTGGAGAGGACAACAGTGACTCACGAGGTGCGATGTGTGGACGCCGACGGATCCCAGTACAAGGTGACAATCGGTCTACGCGCCAGTAGAAGAGGGCAAAACAAGTATGTATTTTTTATTAGTTTTCTTCCATTCAAATGAGTTTTTATTTATTTATATATAAAAATCATTAGGGAAAACAGGTTTACGGTTGATTATCACCAACAGCGTTGTACATGTTAGAAGTGGCAGACACATCGGAAACCATGCTCTCATGCATTAGTCGTGTGTCGTTACCGGGGTGATCAACCGAACTTGTTGTACGATTCCCACTTTTGGACGGAGAACTGGGTTGCTCAATTTTCTAATTGGAATTTTTCTCCAATTGGAAATCCTGACACGTGGCCGCAAGTGGGATGGAATTTGATTTCACATTGGAAAAGGATCATCTCGAAGTCTGGACCCGGTTGCGCCCAAACGAGATGCTTTAAAATGCAAATGGATCGTCGGGCCTGCCGCAGAACGGGCCGAGGTCAATGTAGTAGATGTGGTGATCCCGAACATTTCGCGGACCATTGGCCGTATTCGCATCCTCCCACCGATCGAACTAGACTCCGTGATGATTGGGGGAACTAGATTTCTTTTGTATGTATTTTGACTGAATCGAAATGTTGAAATGGATATTAAAAATGGAATCGATCAAATTGAAATCGAACTAATTTATATACTATTATAATATATACTAAATACTATATAATATATATTATATACTATATATTATATTATATATGGTATTATATAGTGTATATTATATAGTTTGTAATATACATGTATATACTATGGTAAATCCTCCCTATATATAATTCCCGAATGCGCTGAGCCTACGTGGCTGCTTCTGGTGCTTCAGAATCCTACTTGGCGAAG